GGAAGAACAGCAGAGCAGGGTTCTGTGCTGCTCAGCTCCTGGGGTAGGGCGCCTATCACCCACTGCCCTGCACTGCGATTCTGAGACAGGTTTCTGAGTAGACAGCCCCGTGGGTCCTGGGTCAGGATCAATTGTAGCAATAGATTCCAGTCTTACCAGCAATATTTTAGGGGGGAAATAGCACAATGGTAGCATTTGGTTTGTGTTGTTTGTCCCCCTGATTTGCAGTGTCATAATGAAATTTATTCCAGAGGCAGCCCCTTCCTTTGGTTGTAGGTGTCTTCCATTTTGCAAGGTCCTATCTCCCATGTGAAGTGGCACTGAGGAGGTGCGGGGCAGGGTGACCTGCCACCCATTGCAGCTTAGTCAGAAAGGGAAACACATGTTTCATGGCGGTCTGCATTTTTCTCCCCAAATGACCCATTTTCTTTCTTTCTTTTTTTCTTGAATTAGATTATTTTCACCCTTATGCTTTCCCCTCACCTCCCCCAACAACCACAAGGTCTCTTGTCCCTGTCTTGCCAGGCCCTTCTTTGCATCACACAGAGATGAGGAAGTTTGCTCAGGAAGCAGGGAACTCTAGGCACACAGCTGGAACCCTCAGTGTCCCCAGATGAAGACACCAGAACACCCAGGGCAGTTAAGACCCTGGCGTGGCCTTAAGGAAATGATCCCACCTGGAGTCTCTTTGGAGAAAATCATGCCTACAGTGGGACCTCATGTGTCAGCAGTGCTCATTTTGTAGAAGGTCTGATTCTCTTTATTATTTAATTTCTGTTTTTATTGGTCCATGTTTGCAGTACATAATAATTTCATTCACTGGGGGAGTTGGTACATGTACACAACACAGTTTCTTTTTTATGGCCCCTCCCCTTCTTTCACTCTCCTTCCATGTCTTGGTCTCTTTCCATTTACAAAGTCTATCTCACTGATTCCTGTTATCTGTCTTTTACTTTGCTCTTTAATTTATTTATACTTTGGGTTTCTTATATAAGACAGCCTATGTGATATTTAAGCTTGTGTGTCTTATTTATTTCATTTAACATTATCATTTCAAGATGCATCTATTTTCTTACAAGGTTTTTGTTTTTGTTTTTGTTTTTGTTTGTTTTGTATCAAGGGTTGAACTTGGGTCTTTATGCTTGTGAGGCAGGCGGCAGAACCACTGAGCTAAATCCCTAGCCCTCCATTTTCTTACAAATGACTCCAATTTATACTTCTTTATGGAAAAATAGTACTCCACCGTGTATAAATACCACACTTTCTTTATCCACGCATCTGTTTGTAGACACGAAGGTAGCTTCCAGGATTTAACTATTGTGAGTTGTGTTGCTATAAACATGAGTGTGTGCCTTAGCTCCTATTCTTGTTGCTGAGACAAAATACCTGACACCCAAAGTTAAAGGAGGAAAGGTATATTTAGCTCACAGTTTGTAGAGGTTTCAGTCCATAATCAGCTGGTTCCTAGGCAGGGTGGCATAGCAGAGGAGCATCACAGAAGAGAAACAGTCCATGGTGGGCAGAAGACAGCAAAAGCAAACCAACAAGCTTCTTTCCGTCCTTATATTGTATCCAAGCTACTGGGATTAGGGTAGTACCAAACCAGTCAGTGGGATGATTTAGTATTCAGACACCCTGAATCCCAGCATCACATACACTAGATTCAGCCACCTCTGAAAAGGCCCCACCTAGGACCACATGAATCCATACGGGGGCCACCAAGACACAAGCTGTAACAGTATACATGGATCACTATGATAGTTTGTCTTATTCTCATTAGGCAGCCAGCCTCTGGCACCAGCCACAGAGGTGGAGGGAAGCTGATAGCATAGATGCTTTCATTTTGAGGGGTTTTTCCTCATTTAAAAGTTGGGGGAAAGTAGGGTGAGCATGAAATGTCTGCTTGCCCATCTCAGAGAGTGGTGCTTCTCTCGGTCTTGGAGGAGACAGCCCGAGAAGTGGCTGTGCAGCTGTGTTGGAGGGGGCAGCTGGCAATGCCCATGCCCTTTCTTTCCTTTTGGGGCTTCAGTAGGAGCCAGGGTTGTGTGTAGGGAAGGACAAGCCTGCTCCTGGCCTAAGTGCACCAGTCACTGACATCTAAACCTGGGAAAACACTATTCTACTGCTGCTGGCCTCTACCTTCAGGGCTGGTGTCATCTGTGTAGAAAGGGTCCTGGGAGCTCATCCTGTGACACTCAGCCAGCTCCTGAGGGTATGACTCAAGCCATCTGTGGTGTGGTCCTGGGCTTCCACAGATGTTCTTTGGCCTGGGTTGAACTCAGTGAGGCAGGGAAGAGTTGGAGAAAACTTCCTAAAATCTACCTAGTGGCATGCCAATTGTCCCCTCTCCCTCGGTCCCCTTGTGAACTCTGGGGTCAAGTGTCATCTCCTTGTGTGACTGAGGCAGCAAGGGTGTGTGACCTGTCCAAGGACTTGGGGCTGGGGGTGGCAGGTTGAAGGCTCTGAGCTGCTGATCTGCTGGCCCTCGAGAAGGGTCAGATTTGGGGAAAGAGAGGGATAGGAGGGGATCACAGGGCCAGGTACAGGGCCTTGGAATAATGACAGTGAGGAACTGTCAGAGAGGCCAGTGTGCACCAGAGAAAGATACTAACACTGCAGAGGGAGGGACCCAGCCTAGGCACAGGAGCTTGGAGACTGCTGGTCTGTTGTTGGGAGAAAGGGGCAAAAGGACTAGAGGGAGGCTGGGTCTCAAGGATGGCTCAGTGAGGTGGGTCAAAGAGACAGCTTTATGGGAGGGATGTGGTAAGTGCCAGCCACTTGGGGACATGAGCAAAGAAGCAGAGATTTGGCTTGGAGAGCTTGGCGGCTGGGGAGTGGCAGTGACACAGAAAGGGGGTCATGCTGGCAATGGTTGGATCCACCTGGGAGCCCAATGGTGTGGATTGGACATACGGGGAGCTCAAGGCAACTTGAACAGGGTGTGATGTCTTCAGAACAACTGAAAACGCCACAGTGGACATTGATGCATGGGCAGTTAGGGGAAGAAATGTGCAGGCACCACAGAGAAAGGACTGGGGTCAAAAATAAACTGAGCAGGAAGTGCTCTGATTTCCACAACCTGTGTCAAGATCCTGTGTTAGAGCATAAGCTTTACCAAATCAAAAAACCACCTTTAAAAAGAGATGTAAAGAAAACCTAGACCAGAATTAGTAATTATTCTTTATTCATCCTCAACTGATAGTCAGAAGTCAGTGTGTCATCACAGCAGTCAGGCAGCAGCAAAAGTCCAGACTAGAGGAGCTGGTGAGAGGGAGTGCTTGCCTCCATGCTCTGTCCTGGAGTCGGGGGGTTGGAATGGGTGGAGTGCATGCACTGTGAACTCTATAGGGCTTGTGTTCTTATCCTACAGGCTTCTGTGGAACCCCTTTTATGGGCAAATTTAATTTATAAAAATTAAATGGAATATTCTATGTGCTATGATTTAAATGTGGCCCCTCCAAAATTCACATGTTGTTTATGTGATGCTATTTAGAGGTGGGACCTTGAAGAGATGATTAGGCTCCTTCCTCCCAGTGAGATAATGACACTGATGAAAGAGGCTTCATGTAGTCTTCAGTTCGCTGGCCCTTCAGTCTCCTGCTGCCAGACCACATGTTGGTGGATTGGTCCTGGGCTTCCAGTCTCCTCACCTGTGAGAAACTAATTTCCTTTTGAAATGGCCCAGCCTGTGATATTCTGCTATCACAGCATAAATGGGCTAAGGTTCTTTGTAATTAACATCGGCTCTAGCCAGCTGAAGACTGGGTGTGTGTCTATAGGAGACATCGTGTCAAGCTACACATCAATCCTACTGGCCCTGAGCACACTTGGATCAGATATGGGCAATTATTTAGATGTAGAAGAAAGAATCCACTCAAGATACAATTGACTACTCATAACTGTCACAATCAAAACAGTCTAAAGAATTGTATTTTTTTTAAAAGAATTGTATTTTATAGGTAACACTAAAAACTACAAAGAAATTACCCAGTGTTTTCTTGATGAAAATTTATTAATGTAATTCTCTTTCAAATATCTGTAATTGTTGACATAGCATTCAGATATTTGGAGGGTCAAAACAGGAACAGGGCTGTGCCTTGGGCCTGAGGGGCTGTTTGGCTGAGAATCTGCGGAGGTGGGGAAGGACCGGGGTGCTCACTGGCTCTGTGTGATGGGACAGGCCAGCCTGTGGTGTTCAAGTGGAGACTCTGCTTTGTTCTACTCGAAGGTGAGGTCTGGGACTGTCCGCAGCGGAAGGGCAGTGAGGGGTCATAGCAAGTAAAGAGTACCAAGTTGAGTCTAGCAATGATGTCAACACAGTAAAAGTTTTAATCCCTGTCAAAGAAGAGGACTTAACTCTGAGGGTGGTGGGGAAACATGGGCCATATTAAAGAGTGAAGTAATTTAGTCAAGACAGCGTTTGGGAAAGGCAGTCTGTTTCAGTGCTTAGTTAGGCTTTGATGTGGGCTTAGCCACAGAGAGAGAAAAGGGGAGGGTAGTTTATGGGAATTGTCTAGATGAGCAATTTTAGGGCTTTCCTGGCAATTCCAGTGGATCGTTAAAGCACCTTTGGGTAAAGCTTGAGGCAACACCTGGGCCCTAGCACATGGACACTCCGAGAGGAGAGTTACAGCCTTGGAAGTAACAGTGAAGATGGAGAAGGTTAGCACTGCCAAATGGAATGTACAAAGGCAGGCAGGATGCCCTCCACAGAGTCACAGCAATGGGGACAGAGGAAAGTCTCTGGGGCACAGGGTGGACCAAGTGGTGATTGAACCCAGGATCTCTGATTTATTGTAGTCTTCCCAGCTGACCGGGTGGAGAAGTCGCTCTGGGCCCTGTGCCGCACAGGGAGCAGGTAGGCAGCTCTTCCCTGTCACCAAAAAAGGAGGGCCATCGTGCCCTTACCTCTGTCCCAACCACAGGGTTCTCCTGCCCACCCAGCAGACAGCTCGGAGTCTGAGGGAGGCTGCTCAGCGTTTCTGCTTCTTCCCTCACAGTTTCTTCAGAACTGACCTCCCTGGCAGTGAGGAGCTGTCCCGACCAGAGGACCAGGCTGTGTTAATGAAGGTAGGTTATCAGATAAAGTGCTTATTTCCTTGCAGCCTCCAAGCATTTTTACTGCCCTGAGGAGAGTTCCCTTTTTACAAGCGGGAGTAAATTTATCATGTCTGAATTCCGTGCTCCGTGGGGAGGTGCCTGTCACCCGCAGGTGGGGAGGGTTGCTGGTTAATGAGCACAGCCGCAGTCCTCGGAGTGCGGAAGTGACAGGAAAGTGCGGGGAATCTACTTAATTCTCCAGGGGGCTTGGTTGGTTCCATTTAAACTTATATGACAGTCTTGATTCTTTTAGCAGATTTATGAGGCTTGGCCAAATTCCATGTCTCCCGCTATACTTTTTAATTAAGACAAAGGAGTTCACACATGCAGAGTCTGCCACACCCTCACATTTGTTACCGTAGGGAATGCTGTACAAATGAGACTGATCATATTAACCACAGGGATGAGCTACTTATGTCATAGGTCCCTTGTCCAGAGGTAGAAGATAAACTCCCTTTCTTCTCAGTAGCAATTATTTTATTTCCTTCTGAACGACACAAGCTGAGGCATGGAGTATCCCACACTGAGGTTGGGCATTTAGGGGAGCTAAGAGCATGGAAAAACCTGGCAAGCAGCCAGCACAAACTTGACTAAAACTTCATCTTCAGCACCAGAAAACTGCTAGCAGTAGATCACAGAGGTGAACACACACACACACACACACACACACACACACACACTTCTCCACTGATGACTAAGACTCCTGTTTTCACCTAGAAACTGTACAGGCTGACCTTGAGACACAGGCGTTTCCATGATGTCACTTCCACCGGCACCATCAGGAAACCGCGTGTACCAGGAATCGCTTTTCTTTACCTAAATGCCAGTTTCTTTACCACGTGACCTCTGACCTGAGAAATGGGTAGAAAAACAAGGTTCTGCTATAAGGGATTTTCAACTCATTTGCCTAAGGTGTGATATTTTTGGTCTACCCCTTTTTTAAAGCTTTCGGTGATGTTAATTTTATAATAAAGGAAGGCTGCTAATTCCCAGTGATTTCACCTAGAAACTGTACAGGCTGACCTTGAGACACAGGCGTTTCCATGATGTCACTTCCACCGGCACCATCAGGAAACCGCGTGTACCAGGAATCGCTTTTCTTTACCTAAATGCCAGTTTCTTTACCACGTGACCTCTGACCTGAGAAATGGGTAGAAAAACAAGGTTCTGCTATAAGGGATTTTCAACTCATTTGCCTAAGGTGTGATATTTTTGGTCTACCCCTTTTTTAAAGCTTTCGGTGATGTTAATTTTATAATAAAGGAAGGCTGCTAATTCCCAGTGTGGGGCTCCTCTGCGACCCTGGATTCATCAGTGCTGGGTGTGTAGTACTCCAGTTTGTCAGACAGAGATCCTGCCACAGGAGATCTTGCAGTCCCACATTTCCCACAGTGAGCTCTCTGTTCCCTGCCCTGGGCTCTGTTTCCAAAGGTGATTTCTTCCCAGGACAGGATGTCTATCTTTAACCTTGAAGCAGCCTCAGAGAAGCCCCTGACACCTGCTTCTTTATCTCCACTCTCTATTCAAGGAGAGGAGGATGCAGGGACTTTGGCCCTGTGTTCCACCCTGTCCAACACTTTCTTCTACCCATGCTCCTTCATACACCTCTGCTGCCTTCTTCCTCTGCCCATCACAACCCATTTTCAGACAGTGAAACCCCTGTGTTTCCCCTGGCCCTATGGAGAGCCCCCCACCCTGGAGGTTACATGGGCATCTCAGAGGCAGCCTGGAGCACCTGCTCAGGAGCCCACACCTCCTGTCTCTAGCTGTCCCTGTGCTCACCCAGCTTGGGACATGGTGGTCCTTCACAGAGTTCCTTCTTATTGTGTGAGTGGGTAGAAACAGAAGCTTCCCAAAGCCCCCAACTCCTCTCACAGTCTTACTTGATGTCTCTCATGCTGTACCTGGCTGGCTTCTCTAGTACTTGGTTAGAAACAATCCATTTGGACTTGGGAGAAGAAAGCTCAGCTGGCCCAGGAAGTCCTGGAATATGCACATCATCTGGTGTTTTGTGCTTCCCTGTTGGTTTTTGCTGACCGCGTGACCACAGTAACCGAGGATGGCATCTGTGGGTGTTTTCACAATATTTGCAGATATTTGAACAGGCACCATCAAAGAAGTTTCACTGATCACAAATGTGTGCTCTGTTCATATGTACTGAAACTATTTCATGACTTTTTTCAGGAGATTGAGGTTTTTTTAATGTCACCTAGGTGAGGCCACCGTGTGGGTGTGACTCTGGCACAAAGGTTCTTTGTAGATGTGTGTGTGAGAGAACTCAGGGTGACAGTAGATCATTTTGAAGACAGTCATCTTGCTGTCCGTTGTACATTTGCTCCAGTGCACCTCACAGATTATCTGCAGTGAATTTACATGTTTAACTCAAGCACACGAAAACTTGGTAAAAGCAAAAACAGATCTGGGCCACATATGATTTTTAACAATTATAGTTTGCAGCCATATGTGGTCAAAGCTAATTGAGACCGGAGGACTCATCTTGTCTCTGATCTCTCTGTCAGTGCTCTATATAGGAGTCATCAAGCAGAAGGAAGAGATGAACACAGAGCTAAGCAGATTGCTAAGCAAGGGCGGTTGCCCCCGGAAAGGCAGAAATTGTAAGACTGTGGAGATGGCAGAGACTAGAGCCCTCCTCTGATGACCAGGGTGGGCAGGAGAAGGAAGAGGTGGCTCACCACTGTCACACTGCTAGTCAACGGGCAGAAAACTAGAGCCAGAGAGCAGGGTCTCCAGGCCCTCTGGCTGGCTTCTCCCCAGGGAACCACATGGATAGGAGAATTTGGATATATCCCTGTCCAGGCCTGCTTGTCAGTCACCACGGTTCTGAAGGTGTGTAAGACAACAGTGGTTGCTTCTCTGGGACTCAGTTTTGCCATTGGCCAGCAGTCAAGGCTGGTACTGATTGAAAGTTTTCCCCACCACTACAGGCAGCTAGAAAAGAGATTCTAAAGGGCGAGAATATCACTGTTTATGAGGGGCTGTCTTCCAGTAAGATTTCACTACTATTTGAACTGTAGAAAATGCTTAGATCCATAAGTTACTTATTTGGCCTGATTTACTTTTTTTATTTTTATTTTTGTCTCCATGCTTAGCTGTTTCTTTTCTTTTTCAGTACTCGGGATTGAACCTAGGGCCTTTGCACTGAGCTACATCACCAGCCCTTTTTTGCATTTTTTACTGAGTCTCATTAAGTTGCTAAAATGCCCAGGCTGGGCTCAAACTTGCCATCCTCTACCTCAGCCTCCCAGAGTGCTGGGATAACAGGCCTTTGCCACCAAGTCTGGGTGCGTAGCTGTTTCTTTACTCCTTCATAGCCCTGCTTGCAATTCATCTTTTTGGTCCTTTGTGGTCACTGGAACGCCAGCTCCTGCTTGGCTCCACCTGTCACTCACTCCCTATGATTTCTGAGTCCCTCCCAAACTCCAGCCTGACACCCTAGCAAGTTCAGCGAGTCTGCACCTCAGTGTCTCTGTCCTCCCTCCAGTACCTGGCCCAGCCCTCACGACCCTGGCCTGAGATCTGTGGGGTAGACCCCCATGTGCCCCCTCCTCATTTGCAACATCTTGAAAGTCTTCTCCTTCCATCCCAGAGAAAAGCACCAGGGATGGATCTGGTGGACACTACCAGGAGCCCGACTATGATCCTGTCTAGGTCATTTTTATCCCACAGCCTAGTGCTCTCTTGTGATAAAAGATGAACACATGACCCCAAAGACCCTTCTGGCATCCATGCTCTGAAACATAGGGTGAGATATTGTGGACGAATGAACGCCATTCTAAGTGTGCTTCAGAGTGGAGCAACCTGCCCTCTCCCTCCTGTCCCTCTCCAGGATCTACCAGCTAATTCAGGAGCCCCGTGTCCTTTCCAGGCTCCTCTCCTGCCTAACTCCTCTCTTCTTTTGGAAAGGGTGAACCCAGAATTCATCACGCAAACCTGGACTTGTTTGCCAGTAAAGGCACTGCCATTAAACACGCAGCTAGGATAACAGGCACGAACTGTGGCTGTCCCAGACAGACCAAGAATTCAGCCTCTTCTTAAGTCCAAAAACCTTCCCTCCATCAAATGACTCTACTTCACCTGTCAGGCTCCTTGCTCAAGGATTGATCCAGACTCTTTGGCCCCCATTCAGGATTGTTGCTTCTGAAAATCCACCTCCTTTTTAGGATGGCAGTTGTTGGGAACATTGATTTCTTGGTGCCAATCTGTACTTGGACTATCAATTTCCATACTGAATAGAAATGCTTGCATCTCCTCATTTTGTTCTTGCACACCTGGGAATTTCTTACACATCTGGCAGCAGCAGCTGCTTCCAATTTGGGTAGGAGACAACAGCCCAGCCAGGGTCCTCATTAGTTCTATAGTTCCTGTGGCCATCACTTCCTGCAGGGCCCCCCTGGGTCCCCTGGGTTAGCTGGAAAAGTGAGTAGGATGCTAGGAACAGTGGCCCTTCCTGGTAAGCACTGCTTTGCTAGGTCGGGAGATAGGTGCCAGTGTGGAAGGGGCTTTGGCCCTGAGTTATCCTTGTAGCAACACACACAGCAGAATAGGATTGGCTTGGAGCAAGCCTTCCCCACCCCAGCGACCTTGATTGAGGGCCCAGAATGATCCCAGTGCCACAGCCCCACAGTTGGCTCTGCTCAGCCCTACTGCCAAGGACTCTGCCCAGAGGCTCCGGAGAGTGAACTGAAGCCTCCCTGTCCATGGGATCTGCTATACTGGCTATAGGAAACAGTGACAGAAATCAAGCTGCCTGTGAAAAGAAGAAATAAAGCAGCCAGGGGGCTTGTTTATCACTAGGCCTAGCATCTCACTCCCCATCCTGCAAGCCTGGGGCAGGGGCAGGAACACTGAGAAACAGCAATACTGCTCCAGCCTCATCTTTGGCCCAGAGGGGTTTGCCTGGTGGCCTGAGACATGCAGACATTTCCCCATCTGCTGTC